TGACAGAACTTACCGGTACGTAGCGGTACACACCACCAATTCCCACGATCATCAGTCTGCGATGCGATGCACGAAAAAAGAAAAAAAACAACATCCGTAAATCAGATTAAGTTACATATTAGTAATTACAACAACACGCGATGATACAAACAGGGCAGGCGGAGTACGACGTTGCCAGTTGTGTGAGGGATTTTGTTTGTCTGTTTTTCTACGGAAAATTGTATTTAATAAGCAAGAAAATTATTTTGTTAGACAGTTAATAAATGGATGTATTGATACATTTTACGCTATTAGGCATATGAATGAACTATTAAGGTGCAAAATTTCTAGTGACATATAAATCCGAACACTCAGTTTAAATGGTTTTATTTTAATAAAATTTTGTATAAGTACTTAATGAAGCATAATAAGTAAATGATAAAAATTTCAAAATGATTGCACTGCTTTAAAGCCCTTCGACCTTTAATAATGTGTGGATGCACCCTGATGTGCTACGCATTCTCCAACGCGCCTAGGCATGCTTCTGATCAGGTGGTCAATGTCCTCCTGTGGTATCTCATTCCAGGCAACCACCAACTCCTCTCGAAGTGCTTCTAGAGTCTGAGGAGGACGTTGCAAATTGAGCAATCTCCTACCCAATCATATCCCACACGTGCTCAATTGGGGATAAGTCGGGAGATCTTGATGGCCATGGTAACAATGTGACATCATTATGTTGAAAGAAGTCTATTGTGACTCTTGCAACATGTGGTCGGACATTATCTTGTTGGAAAGTTGGATCTGCCAGGGTGTCAAGATAGGGTAAAAGATGGGGTTCTAGAACTTCGTGGTCGTAAGTCGATTCATGGTTAAATTATAGACCAAACTGAAGAAGTTTGACAATGACATAAGACACGATTCACGCGTCATCTGTCAAAAACAGTGTTTCCAAAAAGATACTAGCAAAAAAATCACCCATTATTATCAAATGACAAATCAAGAGTACAAAGCAGGTTTTATATTTTGAACGTATAGATGTAGATTGAAAAGAATACAACGTTTATGTTTTTAGACTTCTGGATTGGTGGCTTTTCCGTAAATAGTACGTAAACGTTTGTTTTTGCAACAAAAATGATTTCGCATATTTTTCAGTATATTGGAGATATCCGAAAAATATTACCAAATGAATGTTTGAAAACAGGTTTAAAATGTTCGATGATACCATCTACTAGTATGAAAATGTTTTACGCATATCGAAATTTAATCGCAAAGCGAGAAAAGATAAAAATGTCAGTGTTCATATGTCTCTAACTAGACTTAATGTTTTGGACCTAGAGCCCCACATTTGGAGTCGAATACACCATTAAAACATCTAAATTAAAGGTTGGTACTCTTTATTTTCAAATCGTCCCAATTTCAGTTTTTGGAATGCATGATGAAGAATTGGTGGAAGCAATAGAAAAATTCACCCAAAATGCGATCAGTATTTTGTATCGTCGCTACCAGACTTTTTCTCTTCATTTCTACCGCAAGCGATCTGAAGCCCTGCATTCACAGTGCTGTCACCCGCGAAGCTATAAATCGAATTTATCGCGTTGAAATCAATCAAAAATGTGTTATCGGTCACTTGAAGAGCGACAATGTATTTATGGTTATGTTGACTCTGGTTATGTGTTTTGTTTATTTCCAAGGGAAAAGCAGATAAAAAGAGGATCGTGGGACCCGTTCGAGTTTCTAATTAATAAAATTCCTAAAAATCTTATTATTTTAACGGTTTATGACGGATGCATCATTAAAATAGCGTACGCGATGCCACCTGGTATATCCGTAAAACCTTGCGATCCAGCACCTCTAACGCATCCTATTGTTCTTTCGAACAATAAATCGTGTGCTCTTCGCATCGGCAAAAGTGACACTTACTCGTATGCATTAGAAACCGTTTTGAAATCGAATCGTCGCCAGGTACGAGTTTGGCATATATCGTAGTCGCAATCGTACCCGATGAAAGAAGATCAAGGTCGCCTTTGAAAAAATGAGGTCACTTCCGTTTAAGTTGTTGTAGCGGTATTTGTCGATTGTGATTGATCGAAAACGCGCTTCGATGATGTTGAGGTGCGAGTTCGTTTGAATCATGTCGAGGAATTATGCTAAAACCAGGAATTTTGAGGAATTCAACGGTTAAAATTTCTATTATGAAAATCATCATCAACTGAACGGCCTGTTCCTATTTCACAGATCACCTCACTGGTTACATTTAACAAATATACGTAGTTTTTCACTTAGTCAAATATTTCACAGTATCTACATGTCCTAAGCATAAAATCAGTAAATCAATTTAGCAAATCAAAAAAGCAGTAGTCTTCAAACTATGTATGATACAAGTAGGTACTGCCTTTTCACCCTTTTAGAACATATTTTGATGTTTACTTTTTTGGTTATTTTTTTATCTTCGCTTAACTTGACATGTTAGAAAACATACTGTTTTAAGTTTATTTATGAAATCACTTTTGTTTAACCTTGATTTTCATAATTTTTCCTGTCCTTCAGAAAGGCATGGGCATTTCTAGATTTCAACTGTTTCTAAGATAATTTAGGCTGACAAAACTGATTTCCATCATCTGTTTTATCAGCCCGAAATTTCGTAATATTCAATAAGAAAACATAACCCCACAATAGGAGATGCTGATGCTGTCACGAAACAGTAGAAATCTACAACAAAACGCAGCATTTCTGGAAAAAAGGCTGTGAAAATCAAGGAGGCCATAAAGGCTTCCTACAATTGCAGGATCGACTGACGAATTTCTTAAAAAACTGTAAACATGGGTATATTCAATGTTTAAAAAAACCGGTTAAAAATTATGATTTTTCAGATTGCCAAATATCGAAATTAAAGTTGAAACCCCGAAAAGTATATTTGAAGATTTGTTTGTTTTTAAGCCTAAATGTTTGTTATGCCTAAATTGTCAAACTTTTTGTTTTCGCAGATCGTACATCTAAAACGGCTCTCAAATGCTGCATTAGTCTAACAACAGAGCTGAAATTATTGATAAACTTTCAGATACTTTATAGCAGCTGCTTATATACCAAAAAAAAAGTCTATATAACGCTCTTGGCGTTAATCGAGTTTCATCCGCGGCGTGGCACGGTAACTGTAACCGATATCTATCGTTGCACAACTGTCAGAACAGCAAAGAAGGCAAAGCTAATCAACAATGGTCGATGCGATGCGCCTGCCGCCGTGTCTTCGACTTCGGCCATTGAAAAGTAAGCGCGAGCTCAACCTACATTTACAGCGTTTTTCAGGCCACAAAGATCACGCCGTAACGCGCAATGTCTGACGTATTTTACAGGCTGCTAGATCCTGATGGTTACGTCTTTTATCTGTTGCAACCAATTTACTTTTTTGCAATGAATACGTGACATTAGTAATCAAATGTTAGGTTATGGGCCCAGAGCCCCTTGACCCCCATTTCACGATTATTCATCACATTTTGACGTCTACTTGGGTCGTTTATCACCTGTTGCTTTGAGTCAGTTTACTTTTTTTTTTTTTCGTAAATACGCGATATCACCGTGACATAATCAAATGTTAGGTTATGGGCCCAGAAACTCTTAAGCCCTATTGCACGATTATCCATCATGTTTTGAAGTCTACCTAGGTCGTTTATCAACTGTCTCTTTGAGTCAATTTACTTTTTTTTTGCCTAAATAAGCGATAATCAAATGTTAGGTTATGGGCCCAGAAACTCTTAAGCCCTATTGCACGATCGACAAGACGATATGCTTTTGGATAACATTTTCATTTTCTTTTAGGCTAAGGTAGCAATAAGCTACTTCTCCATTGTAACCGTGGTACTGTACGTGTTTGTTAAGGCGGGTTTACACGCTACGTCTGATTGTACGTTTTGCCGCGCATACAAAACGTACGACAGAACGTGTTTTCTCTTCAGCTTTCTACTACAGTTCCAATCTAGACTCTTGAGTTGTGTGAAGTTTGTTTAGTGATTTGTTTGGAAGACATTTTTTTATTATGGAGGAAACACGGCTTCTTTCTTTTATTTTTTCAACTATAAGGATACAACGACTGAGAGGACAGGGGATGAAAAGGGACGAGACAAGATGGTCAAGAGAGTAGGGAAAAGAAGCCACTATTCCCATGTTTCGTTATTGAAACAACTGAGGAGCGAACTTGATGACTCGCGCCATTATTTGCGAATGGACAACTGCGAGTTCTTTTTTGTAACAGTCTCTTTATTTGCCATCGGGTCTATTTCCTGGTTTTTTTAAGATCCCCATATGCGACGCTTTTTTTATTACGGTCACTGTAGTCTTTGTTTTCCACTTGCCACAAACTTGGAAAACTTGTACATTTCAATTAATCCCCCGAGAACATCGTGGGTGCATTGCAGCAGGTCTGACATTATTAGGTTTTTTGGGGAAAAAGCAAGCGAACTGAAGTGGAGCTACTCCTGAACTGAACCAAGATCGGACGTCTTGTTTGAACATGAGTCTACACGTTTCGTTTTGTCCTATCAGTTCTCGCAAAATGATGCTTCTTCCATCAGTTTTTCAATCTGACCTTGGATTTCATTTCGATTCGGCAAGACGTACGTTTTGCTGTTTACACGCCACGTTTTATAGGATATGATTTGTCCTGTCCCACAAAACGTATCATAAGACGTAGCGTGTAAACCCGCCTTTACGATAAAGCGGATTGAATTGAATTGAATTTCGATAGAAGGTTGTACAATCGCGCTTATTATGCATCGGTAAGCCTGTAAAGGACTTCATCAGGTAAACAGTTGTGCAGGTTGTAGACACCTGGCAAAAAACTCTCACGTAGACCCGTCGAACCTGTGCAGAGTTCCCATCAATTTCTTGTTCCCAGAAGCTCATACACCGGTTTACCCCGCAAAAGTACAAAAAGAAATGCCACCAACGACCGAGCCGTTGAAGGACACCTGAAAGTTCGTCCTCCCAAAGCAAAGAAAGCCCAAATAACAAACTGGTACCTTTTTCAGATGAAACATCTGCCCCGCCGACGGTCCAGATTGCATTTTCGAACTGTTAATGCCTTGTTATTCCTCTTATGACGGCTCTCAAAGGTTCCTGCCCTGCCTCCGGTTGTCCATGGGCGTACCATTACATTCTTATTAGGGGTTATAAAGGATGTCCCAAAGCTAACGCAAGTTTTGAAATAAATAGAAAACACAGTTTTAAGTCTTTGGATTGTTATTTTCTCGCAAAGAAATTCTTTCTGGATGAAAAAATACCAGTTCTCAAATGGCCTTCACAGTATCCCGATATAAATCCCATTGAAAATTTATGGGAATACTTAGATAAGCAAATACGAAATTAGTCAAACAAGGATGAACTTTTTGCCGCTTTAGAGCAAAAGTGGAGACAGAAGAAACTTCTACAATCTATGCCGAGACGGTGCCAGGCGGTGATTGATAATAATGGTTATGCTATAAAATATTAACACAAACATGGTTGGTTTTCTATAATTCAATGAACTTTGCTTCTTTTTTCTATAATTGTTTTGCTTTGTCTGTATATTTTTGTCCTTCATAGTTCCAGTTTTTTTCAAATGATTTTTTATTGAAGGGAGTCTAATGAATTTATTTATGTATAAGTGAGTATTATGCTATAACGAATGATGTATACAGGTTGGTGTATTAATAAAACAAGTTAAAAAATGAAATACAGCACAATATTAATTTGTCTATATACTTTTGTCCAATACTGTACAGCAACCGCATGAACTGATTTGGTTACCTGATATTACATGAGAAATAAATTATTAAATTTTCATCTATAAACTGATTCTTCTATCTGAATAGCATGGCCATCGAGAGTAACGCTCAAATAATTTTTAATTATCGACGTTAGATTTTTAGGAGAAAATATATTTGCACGCCGATGGTTCACCCTTCAAATAAATCGTTCGTACGTCCCTTGTTGGATAGGAACAAGCCCGGTGGTAGGTGCTATTAACCTGCGCGTAGCGTACAGGACATGAGAAGAGATGTGAGGTGAGGCTGGGCACACGCTGGCTTGGCTATTTCACGAATGTTCACTCATGTCCTTAAGTCGCGGAACCTGTTTCGAGTATTTATAGTTTGATCTGCGATGGGCATCCGCGCTGATGGCACATGGCGCCGCGATCCGGTCGTTGACAAATCTGCAACACGCTCCTTGCACCGTCTCGAGAGAAGGCTGAGGATGCAACACAAATAGATTGATTTTGAATGTTGCTAAGTATCATACGTTTTATTACGAACTTCCATTGACTATACAATTTTTTAATTTTTTATTTTAATAAATTAAAAATTTAATTAAACAAAATAAAACTTTTGAAACATCTACGTTGTCTACAAATTTTACAGTAACATGTCCTCTCATTTGCGTTAAAAGCAGAGGTGTTTATGTTTGTGTACAGTATTCTTGGCGACAATAGTCCATCCGAACTGATTTTGAGAAAATCGGTAATTAGGGTTTACTTTCTTGTTGGAAAGTAAAATTGATTAAAAAATAAGTCGTAAAGAACATCTTTGCTAAACAAGTATGTTTATTGGTAAAACAGATTTTACAAAATGAACTTTTACTCAAAACTAGTAACGTAACAAACAAAAGATGATGTTCAACTCTGGACTCGTGCCACTTTTCCCGTGCTTTAAGCGTCTATTGGCGGGTCATCGACATATTCATCATTGCTGTCTTCTGGATGATCAAGAGATATTAACTCTTGATAAAATGCCCTGGAATCTGCTCTCTCTAGAAATTTATTCAGATCATCCTGCAGATCCTTCGATTTCTTACTTTTAATTGGGATTGGGCCCTGGTAAAGTTTTCTTAATGTTTCCTCTTCTTGTTTTTGTTGATCTTTTTACGTCTTTTTTAGATTCCACCGAATTACCTTATCAAATTTTGAACTAGCATATACGAGCCCCTTCCTATTTCAGTTGGCCCACTTCAAGAATTGTACCAAAATATGCCATTATAAACTAAACATGACGAAACTATTTACTTCTAAAACAATTTATTTTCTCTGAAACATTTTAGATACACTCTAGTCGTAAAAAATACATATTTGAAATCACTTAGACCTATAACTAATAGAACATGTGAACAAATAAACAATGTGCGAATAAATGCGCGAAGTTAACAAAGGAACAATTGAAAGATTACCATTGGGTAACACCACCTTTATTTTTTATTACGGCTGAAATTCTTTGGGGCATAGTGTTAACCAAGTTTTGGCAAAAATTTGGTGTAAAACAATCCCATATTTCTTGAAGCTTTTGCCTCAGTTCGGTGATTGTACGAGCAGGATGTTGTCGTAGAACCTTTTTCATCTCGTGCCACAAAGTTTCAATAGGTGACAGATCTGGACTGCTAGAAACCCATTTCAAAAGTGGTACATTATTTGCTTCTATCCATTTTGTAGCCTTTTTTGATATATGGCACGCTGCACCATCTTGCTGAAACACAAAATCTTGGCCGGATGTCAAACATGCTTCCATCACTGGTAAAAGCGATTCTTCTAAAATTGCCAAATATTTGTTTGTATCCACATTTCCATCAATAAAATGAAGTTTTCCTACTCCTTTTGATGACATACTGCCCCAGACCATAATGGATGCTGGACATTTCACTTTTCTCTTCAGTCAGTCAACATGAAATGCTTCATTTTTTTCCGAATAACTCTACTGCGACTGTCACCAACACAAACTTCGAATCGGGTCTCATCACTCCATTGTATTGCACACCATTGTTGAGGTGTCCATTGTCTATGTTCTTTAGCCCATCTAAGCCGATTTTTCTTTTGCAGTGGAGTTAATAGTGGCTTTTCTTTGCCTATAAACAAGTTGTGCAACTTTAGGGTTTTTACTTCACTTTTTTTTATAAAAGAACTTACCTGTAATTGCAACAAGTGTTATTAAATGCTGCAAATTTGATTAGGGAGTGATAAAGTTGGTGTTTTCTACTATATATTATCAAAATATTCATTGTTAATATTTTAAACCTATAACACCTTGCTACATTTTTATTATTTATGTTTGATAAGAAAAAAACTAAAATTTCAATAGTTGGGCCAACTGAAGTGGGAAGGGGCTCGTATATACGGGTTTCCATGATAAGCAAGTTCATTATAAGTGGATTCCACTGTATATATAATTATTCCGATGTTTCCTGGGTGTCCCAATATCCCGTGGACAAGTACCACGTATTTTTAGACCCAACATTGACGATTGGACATGGATTTACCTCTATGTAAAAGTGATACCTCCACCAGATTTTTTTCCGCAACCCTGCCAACGACTTTAATTTTTTTTTATTTAAAAGATCCTTTTACTTCATTTTTGTCTCTTATAAAACTAGGCCATCTCGCACAGTTTTCGAGAGAAAAAATATTTATCGGAGCTGATTTCTAAAAATGTTTGCTATTACAAGTGTTTTGCCCCTGTATTGTTATGTGCAGGAACGAAAATGGTTTTCATTCTGAACACCTTTTATAAAACATTCGCACTATTTTTTCTAACTATACTTAAAGAATTACTTACTTCATATTTTTTTTTAAATTGAAGCTGCGTTCTGACTGCATCAAAAGCTTAAGGCTTTGTTCTGGGAAATGCTGAGGACTTCACTAACTCTTCGTATCCAACGTACGAATTTTAGAAAAAGCGTATTTCGAAACACGGGCGGAAAAAAACGAGAATAAACTGCGTCATACGCGAACAATTCAACGATCAAAAATGCAAGCTCGTCTTTTCTATTTTTTTTGCCATCGTACGACCTGCATCTTTGCGGTTGATTTATTAGCATTCTATAAAATGTTAATCGCATTGGGTTCGTTTCGGTCTCATCAATGGATCACTTTCACCTCGTTTAGACCATTACTTTGAACATTAAACGTTTAACAACAGCCATTACTTGTATCGATCCTCTGATGCTTTTCCGGCATAAGAATCACCAGAGAGCAACGTTGCAAAACTAATCATTAGTTTAATTATCAATACTATCAAGACCTTATCAAGAATTCAAAAAAATTGCTTATTTTTAAAAATTATTCATATGATTTGGTTTTTCCTAACGACGGCAAAGAAAATCCCATAACCTGCGGCATTGGTCATAGATATGGCAACCCTGTACTTGAAGACGTTCAGAAAAATTAAAAGAGCAAAAAAATGCAAATTTTTCGGTGATTTTTGAGATGCGAAAAATGATCGTATCTAGACTTTAAAACAGCATTTTGAAGCTTTAAGATTCTAGTTTTCAGGCTTGAAAAATTTTAGGAGCAACGGTTCTCATGCAATTTTTACAGATACGGCATTAAAAGTTTCACACATTACATGTATGGGTACTTTGAAAAATATTTTTTTTGCGAGCCCTGTCACAATTAAAGGTTTTCGAAAGGATCGGAACATAATTTTTAGTTAAGTCAGTCTCATTTGATTGTGCGGCAGTTTATGAAAGAAATTTACTGACGCACACTTCCTTCTCAGCTCTTAAAGACTGCATTCGAAACCTAGACAATGACAAACTTGCAGATATACCCTGCTCAGCGTATGCACGGTCAACCTTGAAAGATAAATATTTGAGAAACTTCCTCTGAATATGCTCAAGAGAATCAATGTGGCAGTTGTTAAAAAATTGAGGATGTTGTCGCATTTCGGTAGGAATACCGAAACAGTAGGTTTGGCAACACTGCCACTAGTCGGCACTATTGGTAGGGTTTCCGAAAATCTGTAGATTTGGCAACATCGCGGATATCATCAACGGATCCACCGTAGTTTCGAACGTAAACCTACCAATTTTTTTTTTAATTAGATGGGTCATTATCAAATATTCGATGCGTTCTCAACTTTTGTTACAGACTGCATAAACACCTCTCGCCCCTCTTTATTTAGATTAGCAACTGCGTGAGAATGAGTGTAACTCAACAAAAATCCTCAATACCCTGTATCAAAATGCACGACATAGTTTCATCATCCGATCGTACCATCATTATCAAGCCAATATATCAAATTACATTCACGGCACAGGCAACGATCGATCTACGGTTGAGAAACACTTTCACCCTGTAGTACTGCCATAGTCCGTTGCAAGACGGTACGATCGAAGTATGCAGACTACATAACATAGTAGTGTCACTCTGAGGCAAAATTAGTTTCTTTCCAGATCCCGAAAACCTGACAA